GCAGGTGAAGCTTTGCTTCTATTTATAGGAAAATGGCCTTTCCATGACAAATTTGGGGGGGATGTCAAGGTCCCCGGGGTTTGGCAGCTCCTTGGAAAGTGCCAGGAGCTTCCAGCGGGGCTGTATTTAGCCTTGCCCGGGGCAGGGGACACGCAGAGGGATATTTTGGGACCCAGGAGGCGGCGATGAGGCTATTTGCGGCACCGGCATCGGCCCAGGGCTCCCGGGTGCCACCGCGGTGGCGGGGGAGATTTTTGGGGCATCAGCAGCAGTAAGGCAAACGAAGATTTAAATCCCAGGGTAACACCAAACCCTCATGTTTTGCTGCCAAAAACGATGAGAAGCGGGGTGCCCTTCGCTCCCTACCTGCCGGAGGATGATGCTCGTGGGGCACCCGCCTTCCCCTGCTGCCCGCCTGCCTTCCTCTGGCTGCTGCCCCAATTAAAAGCTCTGGCTAATGAGCTGCCAGGTGGAAGGAGCTAACGGGCAGCCCAAGTCGCCCGCACCTTTGGCGAGCAGGCTGGGGCCAGCACACCCAAATGCAGAGCAGCTCCTACGGCCCCAGGCTGGGAATGAGCTAAAATGCAGCAAAACTACCCCAAAAATTGGGGCGTGGATGCACCTGAGTGCAGAATTTAAAAAAAGGGAGCGGGGTCTGTGCTGGTGGCACCGGAGGGTGTTTTGCCCGGCGGCTGCGTTGGTCCACGCCGGACTCTCCCGGCCGCGCCGGACTCCCCCGGCCGAGTCACCGCGGCGCCGGGGGGAGATTCAAGTGACGTGCCGCCTGGGCTCTGAAAGAGGGGGGGAAAGGGAAAAGAGAGGAGAAAAAACCCAAAACCAAAACCCCAAACCTCCAGCCCTTCGGTGCGTGGGGCTGGGGAGGAAGAGGGGAGCGCCGGTGGGGTCAGACCTGCCCCAGGCGCTCTGGGAAAAGCCTTTTGTTGCACCGGGGAGGGGGAATTTGGGGAAAAAATGCTGCCATTTGGGAGCACGGACCCCAAATTTGACCCCGGGGGCAGGTGGTTCTCCCCGTTTTGGGGCAGCAGCCATCAGTTTCTGAGCTGCGGCCGTTGGGAAGTGCGTCCGGGCCGGCGTTTCGGCCCAGGATAAAGGCAGCCCGAGCCTTCCTGCCCGCCGCCCTCCCCGGCTGGGGACAGGCCACATTGAAAGGCCGGGACGGCGGCGTTCTGGGAGGAGCGTAGAGCATCCCCCAAAAAGAGCTCAGCCAGAGGGTGCGGGAGACCCTGCTAACGGCGGCACTTTGGTCACAGGGGAGGAAGGCGAGGTCCCCCCGGCATGAGGCATCCTGCTGGGAGCACCCCAGCGGAACCTGTTTGAGGCAAAGATGTCCTGCCGAGCGTTCACCGTCACTTTGCCGGCACCCACAGCTAACTTGGGGGGCACCACGTCCTCTCCATCTTCTCTCCGTCTTTCCCTCTCCCACGCCAGGAAGGCTCCCCCAGCGCTGGAGCTCTCAGCTTGCCGGGACGCCGGCAAAGACGCCGAATTTCATTCATGAGAGGAAGGCGGCGTGAAGCAGGAGCCGCAAAACCGGAGCTGGCTGGGGCGAGGATCCGCAGGACAACAACACAGCCGGAGCCTTTCACGTTATAAACATTTATTTATAGATGTACAATTGTATAATTAATTCTAAATCAAGAGATAGAGCCTCTGCGAGCATCCGTCGGGATCTACGCCTCCTCGCTCGTTATTCTCCATGGGTATCTACTTGGGAAAAAAAAAATAGCCAAAAGGTTTTGGCGGTTTTTTTTTGCCGTTGTGCAAGACGTTCAGCACCTTCTGCGAACGTGGTTTTCGTTTAATCCCCTCCCCACGATCTCTTCACTCAAAGAGTGAAGCCGGCTACTCTGTGCTTTGATCGAGAGCTGTGTGCAAATGCCGTACTTCCACCCGATTCCTTCCAAAGGTGGAGGAATCATTTAAAAAAAAAAAAAGGAAAAAACGCCTTAAGATCAGCCCCAAGTCATGGTGGCTGTGGGGTAATAAGGCTCGCAGTTAACGGGAGGGCTGATATTTTGCAAAATAAATAAATAGCTGAAGACAGAGCAGGTGGATTCCTAATGGCAAAGAAATAAAACCACCTTGCCTCTCACCTCTTCTGGTCCCTGCCACCCCACTTGGGAGCTGCCGTGTTTTTGATTCATCCCCCCCCCCAAGCGTGTTGGGGGGCGGTTCTCACTGGAAATGTCTTTAAGACAAAAATGAAAGGCAGGGTACCAAAAAAACCCAAAAAATCCAGTTTAGTCCATGGGAGGTAGGTCCGCTCGTGTCGGCTTTGTTTCAAAGAGATGGCTCCTAACCTCCAGCGCCCTCCCGCCGCCCTAACGCCGGTCCTGCCCGACGCTGATGGAGCAGGAGACGCGCTGCAGAGCTCAGGCGGGGTCCGAGGAGAGCTCAGGCGCACCCTCCCCTCTCCCTCGGCAAAACTTCTTTCAACAGAAGCAATAGAAAGCTCCGTTTCTTATGAATTAGCAGTATTTTACAGGTCTCCTCTAGGAAACGTGAACGATAGGGTGTCAAGGGCACGGCCACGTTGCAAATGGGAATGTTGGTGGGTGAGGAACCCCAAGTGTAGGACACACAAAAAAAAACCCAACAAAGGGAGACGGCTCGTGGAAAGCCCTCTTTACAGAACGAACGCCACACGCTGATTACGAGGCAAAATTAAAGCAGACTCTGCAAAAAAAGAAGTTACGTGCACAAATAAAGCCAACGGCTGATGAGCAAAAACCATCCAGGACAATCCTTCCCCTCACCGAGAACGACGCCGGGGCTCAGCTGACCCGCCGCAGCTTCTGCCGACGCCGCAAAACCACACCACAAATCTGGACAGTTTTCCCCCATTTCTTTGTTACCCCCTACAGATTTGGAATTTCTTTTATTAAAACCCGAAAGGCAGGTATCGACATCCCAAGCCGCAGAACGCCGCTGTCCTCCGGAAAGCAAAGTACAGTAGCTGCAAAGTGATTCTCGTTTTAGTGTGCCAGGCAGGAAAGCGCTGCAGAGCGAGACACCCTGGGAAGAGACTTCCCGCTTCCTTGTTTACCAAACCGGGCAGAAAACAAAATAATTTAATCATCCAACCCCTGCATAGTTTAAAAGTACAACATATATACAGCTATAAATTAATTCTAAATAGATTATATTTTCTTTTTTTTTTTTTCTCTTTTTTTAAAGTTTTCTTTCATCACCAAATCGTCCAGTTTCTCTCTCCGTCGGCAGTGACCAGCGCAGTCGCGAAGGGTCTCCTTCCGCTTCATGGCTTCTACAGCTCGTTTGTGTTATTTCACACTCTACACGTCCGTTCTTGGGGCCGTGGGAACCCAGGAGCAACGAGACTGTCGCACGCTAGCGGCGTCGGGAGGGAAGGAGGAAGATGGGCAGCTTGATTTCCTGTCCCAATCGCTGCCCGAGACGCAGGTCAAACGGCAGAGACAGGCAGAGAGAAGAAAGAGGGCAGTTGTGCGTTGCTAATTCTCCAATTCCATTTTTACGATAGGGTTTGATTCTTTTAAATATCAAGTCTGTCACCTCGGCTCAGTGCAGTTCACCAAAAGTCTTCAGGCATTTCGAGTCTGGGAACAAAAGCGGTAGCGGTGTCAGTCTCCGGACAATCGCACGTCACCGTTCCCCCCCTCCCCATTACAGGCAGCAGCTTTTTCAGTCGCGCTATTTCAGGCGGCAGCGGGCCCTCCACCGAAGAGCAGCTCTCTCTTCAGACCACGGGTAGAGAGAGGGAGTTAAAGAAAAGCAGGTAATTAATGCCGGCCTATCGTGAAAGAGGCGCGGTTATCAAAACAAGAGAGCGGGCGTACCAAGATAAGAATGGTTCCAAAAACAGGATACGCCCAAAAAAAGGTCCGAACGTGACCCAGAGGATTTGCTTCAAGGGCCAAATTTTCAGACGCGCTCCCTTTGCCAAGGAAAATAAAAACCAAACAAAACCTCCCCAGCTAAACCTCCTTACTTGTGTCTACAAATCAAGCAATACAACATCCCCCAGAAACCTTTGCAAGTCTAAATGGTGTCCATACAACTAATGCTGATGTGAGCTTCACCGCCGATTCATTTTCTATGGAAACCCTGTTTCCGAGTAGTTTTGTGGTAGGAGGGAGGGACCCGTATGCTTTACCACCAACCCAGCAGTACCTGGTAGGTGAAATCAGCCCAGATAATTAAGCAGAAAAAGGACTCCGAAATCCGTGCCAAATTTTTTTTTTTTTTTTCATTATTTTCGTGCAGTTCTCCCGTGACCTGGCACGCCCCATCTCACGCATGCTATCTGAGCTCGCCTTAATTCAAGCTCTCCAACCCCCGGAGTCTTCCAGACTCCCCCTCAGCTGTTTTTACTTTGATTCCCAGTTTTACGCAGTAAGTTACTTCTACAACCCGCTGTGAACTCTGGCCATTTGCTTTGTTCTCCAGGAGTGTCATGGGAAGGCAACGGGGGGGCGGGCAAGGAACATCTGTTTGGTAGGAGTCCGTTCCCTGTCATCATGTTGCTTCAAGTGCCAGGGGATAACAGCTTTTTCAGTAAAACAGACAATAAAGCAACCAAACAAAGGTTCATTAAAACCCGGCGGGCCGGTTTTCTGTACCGGCGCCGGCGTGCCCCAGCCGGTAAAAAACTTCCAACCAGCCGAGGCGCGGGCGGTTGCCGTATCGAACGCGCAGTTGACAAAACCTCAGCGGAGTTGCCAACACGCCCGGGGCTTTTGGTCTGTTCCTAGAGACCCAACACCAATGGCACCGGAGAAAAGAGGGAGCTTGGAGAGAGACGAGGGTGCTGACATGCAAACTAAAGAAAATCAATTTCCCAATTAAGGAGCGTATGCTTGACGGAGTGGGGTGCTTCCCCCCCCATGAGGTGTGTGCATCCAGAGGAGACTCGTGACGATCTGTGTCTCAAATAGAGATTTAAGTAAGCGTGAAAAGCAGCGTCCTGCCCTGCTCCGCTGTCAGGGGAAGCATCACCAGCTCGTACTTAGACCTCTGCTGAGCGGGCAGGCGGTGACTATCCATGCAGAGAGGCTTGCAGAGAGGCTTGAACGTCTGACAGTCTGCTACAGCTGGGGGTGCCCATCTTCTGTGCTCGCTGGTACAGATCCGAGTCTCCGAAGTAGCGTGCCCGGTACAACAAGCCTTCCTCTGCAAAGGGAAAAGCCCAGCGTTACAGACACGATGTGGAAGGAGACCCATCTGCCAGGCCGCATCCCACCACGGGCTCTGCTGGGAACGGGAGGCACCTCAAGTCCTTCCAGGCTGGCTGAAGCACAGGAAGAGGCTGAGGAAATGCCCCGTGCTGTGCCCTTTAGGACAGGATGGGCGTAACATCTGCTGACAGCTCATCCATCCCGGGGAAAGCCTTAGGAACCTGATGGGACCTGCCTCTAGTCCCAGGAGGCACACGAGGCAGCCTACACAAAGGTTACCTCAGCAGCACGGGGAAGAAGCAGCGCAGAGGCTCAGAGCTCGGTGCATTGGCCTCGTTTGGCGCCACTGGGGGCTCTAACAGCCCCTCCTGCGTCCCAGGCGCTCAAATCCTACCCCAGCCACTGCTCCGAGAGCCGTGATCATCACCTGCCGGGAACAGGCGGGCAGAGAAGTCAAGTCACTCTCGGGACTTGGCAAACAGTTTGCTGCCCTAGCCAC